GTTACAGGACATACACTTCCTCCGGCTCTAGTTCGGGCCCCAAGGAAAAGAGACACGAGTTTTTTTTTCGTCGCCTAATCGCTGACGGCACTTCCACCATATCCCCGATCGCTTGTCTGTGACATTTGCCAACAGGTTGTCCTATCTGGACATGGCAAACTGTTAGTGTTACATGGGAACATACGTCAATTTGCATAAAAGTATAAGCAAACCTCGAAACACAATTTTAGCAGAGATGCAATCCAGTGTTTAATTTCAGTTTATTGCGATCCGGGCCAAAGATAAATCCCTAAGATGTTGACTAGAGATACCATGAGGAATTGGAAAAAGTTGTAACAGCTGAATGGTTATCTTGTCGGTTTTGTCAAAAAAACTCCAACGAGGCCAATGTTGAAACTAACGGCACTCAGGCATTAGAAATTTTTACCCCTGTGCATAACTTTGTAGTCGAGCTTAACTTCTAACGCGCTGCGTCAGTGGCAGGTACAGGTAGGCTCTGGTTAGATAACGACAATGGCGATTGTGACGGTGGTGTTGGCGCCTATACCAAGATTCCATTTCAGCTGGATGAAACTGCTTTGATCCGCGAATACGATTCGAACCCCATTCAACTTACCTCTTTCGTGACAGGTCGGTTAGGAAACTGTTGTGTTGGTTTGGGTTTCGGGACTTGGTCAGCTGCTTCTTCGGTCGGTCCGCTGTCAGAATCACTGGACCCTTCTGACTGTGCGTCCATTTCTTCCTCGTCTTCGTCCTCCTCATCGTCACTGGATGAATCTAAGGCGACCATAAGGGCAGCTTTGCCGGGGGCTGGAGGACTTGAATAAGAAAATAAGACGTATCAATAATATGTCATGGTAATTGGAGAAGGACGTGAATAGTTGGGCGGTGCCGTGTAGTGCATGCATAAAAAAACTTGTAAACTAATTGGTCTGATGAACAGCTTTCCCTTATATGACCAAGTGAACAGACAAATGGCCTTTAACTAATTGATACTTTTCGATCGTCGTTATTGTTGATTCCGTTGTGTTTTGCGACGTGGTGAGCGCAGGACGGTGACTTGCGCGTGAGTTACAGTGATAGCAGACCTGCGGCGCATTTGCCGCATGCGCTTTTCGCTTCTCCGCTGGGGTCTGATGGCAAAACAGGGTCAGGAGAGCGAGTGGCAGATTTGGGTGCAGTGACTGGCACGGGTAAACAGTCCGACGAAGCCTACTACAGACTATAAACCACGTTTTTCACCATAATAATGGGGTCGTCCGACTCTATCTGAGGAATGCCATAAGGACCACATTTAGTAAGGCTTATCGAGTTTGACAGTAGTTCCTCAGGCGACGGATTTACTCTGTCGGCCACGACTTTTAGCGCCTCGTGACAGGTTCTAACTGAGTCGGTAACAGCAAACCGTCATACATGCTGTCATCGTGGACTGCGCTGTCAGGCAGCACGCTGGCAGAAGTTTGATGGACCACCCAAGATGAAGTCGGGACTCTGATCGCGATGTCAATGGCGACTTTATTGCTAACAACTCGGCCAAGGTCGATCGCTGGCGTGAACACTTCGATGACTTCCTCTACTTTTATGCGCAACCCATCACACCCACACTCTTCAGCCTGTTCAGTGTCGTGCGACCTCCCTGCCAAAGATGAAGCTGCCGATGCAATACAAAGGCTGCGCAACAACAAGGCGTCCAAAGATAATTGTATTCCTGCTGAAATTTACAAGTCTTGTGTCAACACTGGCGCCATGCGGTGATTGAGCAAGCATGGAGAGGTGAAGTAGTTCCGAACGACTGGGGTTCAGGTAGAAAGGGAGATGAGACTACGCGGTACACGCCTTATCGACGGTGCTACGAAGGACTTCACTATTGTCCTTCTCAGAAGATTCCGGTCTATATGAAACTCTAGGAAGAGGCCCAACCAAGGCGGATTCCGAGCTGAGTGTAGATGCGTAGACTGGATATACACACTCAGGCACATTCTGGAATTCTACCTTGGTTACCAGCAACCCACAGCCGTCTGCTTTGTCGACTTCGCCGCTGCGTTCGATTCCGTCCATCATGTGTCCCTGTGGCGAATAATGAAACTGGATGGAGTATCGACCAAAATCATTATCATGATCAACGCCTATTATCACCTACAGGGGTATT